CCAAACTTGTTGGGTTTCACTCAAAGAAGTTTACAGCCAAATATGAAGATTTTATAACTTTCCTTCCGTAAGAAGAAGTTGTTGAAAGTGTTTGACCCCTGTGACCTTATACGGATATCCAGATTATTTTCATTTGCACACTTTCTCGGGCTCAATCCCATGGGGCTTCCAGCCAAATATTATTAATCTATGCTCTAATATTGAGGCTTTGACATAGCTGACCTCTGTGACCTTGATAATAGGTCAAGGTCATTTTCGGTTTTTGTCGGGCTCAATCCCAGGAGAAGCCACTAACCAAATATGGAGATTATATACATTTCAGTTCCTTAAAAGAGGTTGTATAAAGTGTTTGGCACATTTGACCGCTTTGACCTTGAAAGTACGTCAATGTCATTTCCATTCTCAAACTTAGTCGGGCTATATCCCTGGAGGACACCAACCTTTTAAAGAATCTTTACCTTTTTTGTTCTTCAGGAGAAGTCGTTTGAAATGTTTGACTCATTTGACCCATATGACCTTGAAAGTAGGTCAATGAAATTTTCGCTCGCACACTTCGTCAGGCTCCTACTAATGAAGTTTTCAGCCAAATATCATGACTTTAATCCTGTCAATTCTTCAGAAAAGTTGTTTAAAGTAAAAGTCCGTAAGACGGAAAGACGACTGACACTGCACCATGACGTACGTTCACTTGCCCTTCGCTGAGGTGAGCTAATCACTAATTTAATGTTGTTTGTTGTCCCGTGTAGAAAAGAAGTTGAAGGAAAATGGGTAAAGTGTCTGAAGGTGTATAAAACACTTGAAAACATACGAAACGTTCACAGAAGTTCGAATATGCACTGACCACACATACAAATGAACAAGACGAACATTTTAAAGGGACTGTTTAAAGTTATGTTAAAATTCCATAGTAGTGTGTCACTCATAACCTTTGTTTCAGAAGTGTTACGAGATATCTTCTGCTGTATTAGCTACTTTCAATCTCTTATACATATGTTTTTTTACTCAACTAATTATTCAGATAATTGATTAACCCATGGCAGCATGGGGGTCGCACAATTGAATATCAGTATGAAAGTATTTTTCTGAAAACAAAACAAACATATTTCTGCATCATCATACTAGGAAAAAACATTTTCTTCCATGTGATGTATCATCATTGAAGTATAATTCGGTATACAACACTTTTACCATCCATTTCCAATTGTGTTCTTGGTTAAAAGCGTTACTTTGAAAATGTCATGTATTCAATTGTACATTCGAGATTCAAAAATTTAAAATTCGATCATCAATATCGTTTTATCGAACGCTCGAATCTTGAAAATGTCAACTTTTCAAACAAATAATGGTCTTATTTCACAAACGATTAAGTATCCCTGTTCCTTTGCCAGACACCGCATTGTAAACCGGTTTTCTCTGATAAGACTACAGGTTTATTAATGAAAAGAAAACCATACTTTGTAGGATTTTCATGTAAAAACAAATGTAGATGAATTAAACAAATATTATCATCAACAGTGTTTTGGGTGCTTATAATTGAAACATGGCTAGACGGGGATTTAAACTCCTGACTGTCTCTAGATTTATGCACTGTCGCTCTCACTTACTGAGTTACAATGTACCTGATCAGCGAATTTAAGTTTTTTTTTGGGGGGGAGGGGTACTGCATATAGGAAATGTCACAGTGCAGTGGGACGTACATCCTTAGGCAAGAGGACCAAATTATTTTATCAGAATTAAATTACTTTTTATAACATAATAATAAATCATGCGCCATGACCTTCACAAGGTCAGATGCTGACGTGTAACGTTTAGGCTCTTTTTACCCACATTAGTAAGTTCCATGCTTTTTAAATAATAGAGCAAAACATGCATAAGTACAAATTATGTAAAATTAAAAAATTTCAATATTTGAATGCTATAATAAGGACTGTTAGCACACTTAAAGTGTAACTGTTCAATCAAACACCAATAAAAACAATAGAAATGACAATACTGTAATATCAAAATAATATCATTGCGATATATATTTGTTTTAGGTATTCAGTGCTGTACATACTAATTCAGATCTTCACAGAGAGAGAAGAAAAACATGGACTGCTTAGATATAACTGGATATATCAAAGCACGAGATTGTAAACAGTATCTTAGCAAATCTATAGCGCAGCTATGTACATTGTATAATAAAACAACGGGACCTTATATACTTGATATTTCCGCAGCATATTCGACCTTAGTTGAAGAGCTACTGGATACGAGGCCATATTTCAGCCAAGATATTCCAATCTACGTAATTAAATAGAAGGTTAAAATCGTTCTAGGTATTCGTGCAATTGATTAAAGCACACATACACGTATCCTATAATGAGTTATTGTTAAGATTTGAATTCAAATGAGTGTGTTTTACATTCATTTTTGTTCAACATTAACTGAAAAAGACTCCTATTGGTAAGCTTTAAATCTTGATATTGACCTACAGTAAGGCAACTTTGTCATCGCAAATCCAATTACTTTCACAAAAGCTTTAACAGCTTCTTTCAAAATATGAGATCGGACATATTCAAAGAAGAGATCAATTGACCATATGCTCCTTAATCATAATTGGTGGCTACGTGATACAGTCTAATCATTTTGATTGTACATTGACAGCAAAAGAAAATAATTGTTCCAGTTTGGACAGAATGAATATTTAATTAACAAATTAAATAATTTAATTTAATCAAAATATTCATTTGTGTATTTCTTTTCAAAATGACCACTAAAACTAATTTTGACTTTTTGAAGGTAAGAAGAATTGTCAAACGATACCAAAAATAAGAACGAGGTATTCATGTATGAAGGAGAAGACGCCACTACTTAATTTTCTTGCTAAACGGCAGTGATCATATAACGGTTTTTTTTTGCATTGGTATAACATTTTCTTCTCATGTTTTAAGAATGTTAGGGCCATTATATCTAGCCAGTAGCGTGTTGTGATGAAAAAATTCAAAATTCGTTGAAATGGTTGACATTCATGATCGCATGTGCTATTTTTTTAATGATTTCAAACAACGTATTCTGAATCCCCAGGCCAACAGTGATGCTATCTAGCCATAAGCATGCTCGATTGAAGGATTAGCAAGTTCATTCAGAATAATTTATCATGAATATATTATGTTTGCGAACCTCTTCTCCTGAATAACCATATGCCTTACGTTAATGGAATCTGGTCTGTACAGTAATGGTGGCGTAAATGAGTGCGAAGTATGTGAAAATGAACGACATTAAATGACATTCAAGTTCACATGATTCAAAATCAGTTAATCATTAATAAACATAATCAAACACCATGGTATATCGATTAGACAAAGAAGGTTGGCGCATAACGGGTTTGGTGGGTCTTTTAAGCATTACATAAACATAACGTAACTACTAACCAGTTGAAGTATATTCATGCATTATTTATTTGACTTATAGATACTTGAAGGGTAGCACTACGATATTTAAGTCCACGATTATTACATGAGCAGTTTTACGTGGGTCTTTTCATACAATCATTTGTCTGTTAAACACACAAAAAGAATAAAATGAGGCGAGCTAAAATTGATAAGTTAGTTAAAGTACTTAATTGTCAAAAACTGGTACAACAATACTATTTCAATACAATTTCAATCAATTAATAACAAATTGAACCTATACAATAGTTTAGCAAACATCACATGTTCTATAATACTACATTATGTACATGTTAACATACAAATTTAACAAATAATTAGAATATTGATTTCTGTTGCAATTCTACGTATGTTGTATAATATACAACATACGTTTGAATTAAAGTGATACATTTGTATCAAAACAAGTCAATTTTTACATGCAAAAACCGTATACACACATATGTTAGGATGACGAATGTTTCTAGTAAAATCCATTTATATGCGTAGATATGGCATCATGTGCTCGCATTTTTAAGTTGGCCCGTGGTCGACATGTAATTTACTACTCAAAACAGAATGAAGTGATTGCACATATATCTCATACTAGACTATTACATTACATATTTTTTTACAAATAGGATTTAAAAAAATTCTTGCAATTTAAAAAAAATACCTATTGCAAAATGTACTCGCCCTATGCGTAAGTATTCATTTAACCGCGGCCTCCACATGTTTCAATGAAAACAATCTGAAAATGTCGTCAAATTGCTAGCCTACAGTTTCTAAAAAAACACCAGTTGCATCATATACGATAACATCATTCAGAGTATACATATATTTACAGTAAAATGTATAGGATAAATATATATAGAGAAATGCATAACATAGTGCCTGTGTGATCTGTACAATTGACTAATAAATGAATAAACCATAAACATACTTGCTAGCGTTTTCGCCTAATTGACTGGCTGTTATCTGGCGACTGATGAACCCGTAAATGGGCGACAATCCTACCAATGTCGTGTATTTAGGAAAATCCACTTGTTATTGTAGATATACATAGCAAGAAATAATAGGTTAGCACCTCTCTCTACGGCCAACCTCTAAATATATATTGCTGAAAACACAAACAAAGTTTTTGTATCATTAACATTTTGGAGCGGAATACACTATGAACCTACCAATTAACACACTATTAATTTCAGTCATTCAAACGTGTATATATCTTTCTCTGTTTTTGGAAATAGCTCGTAAATGAAGCAGTGCATTGGAAAACGAAATAATTCCGTCATACTGTAACGACTGAATACCCAATAAAATCATCCAAGGATGCAGGTCCAATATTTATGCCAGGACTGTCACAGGTGCAGAGGAGAAGTAAGGGCTGCTGACATGCTCATTGTCAAATTGTGCACACGATGTGTCCACTGTTGTTTCGGTGCGTTGTGCAATCACACAACTGTATCTATCCATAATTATAACAATCATAATGATATATGACTAATATAGATTGATTATTATTCATAACATTTCCGGTCTACGGTTGATAGGTTTAGTCCAATAGAAACCTTTTGGAAAGCTTACGTATTAATTGAAGCTTTTCTGATTGTTCATTATAACGAGTTTTTGTGAACCAGATGGATTTTCCGGAACCAAAACACCCTCGGCAATTGCGGTGTTGATGTATATCTCTTTTTCACCTAAAAATAATGATGAACATGCTATTATTAATGGTGGCTTCTAGTATGTGATATGAACGGGATTAGCGTGTACATGTATCACCTGTCCCCAACAATCTTAAACAATATTTTTTTTGTATAAACACTGTTTATTTATATGTCCTGATTCTACTCTTCACCTAATTGTTTGTATTCAAAATATATACATTTTACATGAACAAATTATATTTCCGAATGAGGAAACTATAAAAAAAAAAAACATTAGAAATAACGGACAAAAACAAATATTCTAAAGTACATACAATGACCTGATTCGCGTATAAAATATTATACAATAAGCGTAATCTTCTGAAATAAGAATATTTAAGAACCATCTAATGTCTTTTGATGTTAATCAGTATAATTGCAAAGCTATGATAAAAGTTGTGCAATATTTGGATTCTATTTCATGTATCGATTATCTGAAAGACGATATCGATACTTACCAGATGTACTACCATGGAGCTCTTCATAGACGTTTGGATTCGACCGACCCTCCAATGACTCGGATTCTCTGCTAAAACAAAAATAAAACACCTTATTAACTATGCATCATCGAAAATCCGCCAGGACGAATCGTTGGAAGACACTAAATGATGTGACAAAAAAATAAAAAAAAGGGTTTACAAGTCTTGCTAATTAAACGAATTTGATAATACAAACTCACTTGTCAATGACTGGATCTTTCCGGCGACCTACAAAACAAGCAACATAAAACAGTTATGTAAATAGTAAACATTTTTTTATAGTTTTTTTCAATGCATGCAAAAACCGTATACACTCTGCTCATACACAAATGAAACAATACTTCATTTTCCTCCAACAGTTAAAAAACCTTGGTATCTCTATCAGGACCAACAAGCCATCTAGTATAAATTGATTAGACCTGTTTCATAATTATAAAGTGAACATAGCCCATATGTATTGGCCCCCAGAATGTTTACATAATTTAAAATCTGGCATGTTCATTACATTTGAATTTTAGTATAACAAATGGCGGTACGTTTCAGTAGGATAACGAATGTGCAAGTGTCGTACGCGTCAACATGGACCTTCTTTAACAGCACGGAATTTCTTCGTCAACAGAACATCAATGTGTTTGAGTGGCCATCGTTTTTTTCAGGATTCAATCCCACTGAGCAGGGATCAGTTTGACGATTGAGTGAGAAATGGATGTCAGCAGCCTAAAACGTTGCAACATTGAAAGACGAGTCTACAGGAACTGTGGCAGAAGTTCCCGATGAGGTCTTGAATAGACTAATCGCTTTCATGCGACGTATTTTTCAGGTTTTGGTCAACGCCCGTTTAGGGGTTCGATTACGCGATTATTGATTATGTAAACTTGATTTTACGTACGCTAAATAAGCCCTAGTTTTGTCGTTTCATGGAGACATTTAAATGAAACTGAAGTTTATCTATTTGGCACAACATATATTGATGTTAACATTGTGAATATGTGGCAGTGCTATTTTTTAGTTTGTAATATGAGCTGAATCCAAATTATTAAACTATATAATATTGTCTTAGTGAGAATGCTTAAGTTGTACGTATGTCTGACGCACTTAACAATTTTTATATACTGATTCTCGTACTGGTTGTACTGACCGGTTTGTCTGGTCAACGTGTGTCTTAAGTGTTTGTTACCTGTGCTGTTTTGTTATGTAAATATCTTGTCACGTGATTTCATGTCAGCTCGTGCACTTGTACGTCTTGCATCTTCATTTCCGCACTGGACAGAGACCAGACCAGTCATAGAGACCTATATAGTCAATACCGACATACATTATACCGACTGCGGTGAACAGAACTCTACTTATTTCCGAGTAAGTGTTTGGAATATATTAGTATTGAGCTATTTGAAATATTACATTTTAGGGTAACCTTTATGGAATTAGTATGTTTGCATTTCTAAAAATATTTGAAGTTAAAATATCTTTCTTTGATAAACGTAATGTTGTATGTGGTTTCCATAATCTTTTTATGGAAATTGTAATTGATAAATATTTTAAAAGTAATTTGCTAAGCATGTTTACTATATATTAAGGTTTTTTTCTTTTTCTTTTCAATGGAGCCATATACCTATTATGTAGGCAACGTACATTATACGTAGATATCATTAGTAGACCCCTGTCAGAGCGATATGGTAGGCATTTTTAATATAAGGCACTATTACATTATCTCGCATTAATCATAGTTGATGTGCAAAATTGGTAAATTTTATAATATGTCATGTATAAGTATTTCAAATGTATTGTATTAAATTCATAATGTTATTTGCAACCGTTACGGGTATTGTGAATTTTGATGTAAAGTCAAGCTGATGTACATTGTATAATGTAGATCTTTTATGTATTGTACATGTGCTTTTGTGGTTTCTTTGTGCTATTGCAGAGTTTCGACTCCAATAAATGATTGTGTAAATGGACATTTGCTTCTTCGCGATGTGTAAGAAATCTGTGAGGCACCTGAACCCGGCTACACGTTTATAGCATTTCCTGTACATTAAAGAACACTATCAAAACAAACCTTTAACGTTTTCTTTGCAGGCCATTATATTGAAAATTATCACTATTGCGTGTTTTACCTGGAAGATGACTTCCTATTTCAGAGTACACAAACGCCTTGGTAATTTCATTCGTATTGAGTTGTTCATATGGAGATCTGTGAAGATATAGAATAAAACACAATAAAACGATGTAATACTTTGTTTTCAAGCATAACTATTTATCAGTTTGAAGAAACATTACTATTTAACAGTTAAAATCTATAACACTACACCCCTGCAGGTCGGGGGTCGAGAAAATAATAGACCTGTTGTTACCTGTTGCATGCGTCCTAAGATGCGATTAATGTGGAAACCCACTGCAGAATTGGGGGGTTTTGTGGCTTATGCATAAAGACACAAAGTCGATCAAAATATGTCTGCACTAATTGTAAAAGAATACACCTGTTGCTGCCCACTGTATGTATCATACGATAAGACTAATGCGGAAACCCACTGCAGAATTGGGACATACCAAATCCTTATACATGATATTGTTATTACTTGCTTAACGTTCAGCAATTGGGGAAATGGCAACAACTAGTTCACCCGTTGTCAATATAATGTGATCGGGCGGAATGCTTTGACTGGTGCATTCGGTATGGTTTTTCAGTAAGCTGTACAATTGACTTTGAATAAAATGAAAACAAACCATAACGCTAAAATGTTGTTTTAAATAAGTGTTGAATGTTCAAACAAGATTACCGTTCGTCGTCCTCCTTATTGGGTGTCACAGCTGAAACAGACATTGTATAATTTAATAAAAAATCCTTTTTACTTTTGTACAAATTAACGAATGCTATATAGATATAGATATTATTGTTTTGTATTGCATTGTATACAACTTAACCGACATGGCGAAATTAACACAACATGAATAATTGTATGAAGAGAAGAACTTATTGATGTTGGACATTATCCCTAAAACAACGTGTTCAAGAGTATCAAGCGTTTTTCACTGAAATTACCTCGTTCTGAAAGTTGCACGTTCTGAAACTCCCTTTAATTCGGATGCTGGGCTTTGCTAGGAAACAATATACAAAATTACTTTATATTTTTCAATTCACAGCTATTACTTCACAATATACCATCAAATTTCGGAAAAGAAATTCTTAACATAGTACGATGGTTTTAATTAAGCACGCTTTTCAAACTGAACTGATTTTGGCAACATTGCATTATCATTAATATAAACAAGATATTTACGAAAAGACGAAATAACTAATAAAAACCAAAAAAGGATATCTGTCGATTTGGTGGCAATATTAATTGACTTACATAAAAGGCAGTCTACCATTTCCTGTAAAATAACAGAGGTAGATATTAAAAGTAGTGTATGCTTGTTTAACGTTAACATATAACGAACGTAAATTGAAGTAATGAAGTTATCTTGAGTATGTTCAATCCGTGATATAGACAAACAGACAGAACAAATGGAAATTATTGATCAATATAAAATGTAGATAAAACTCATAAATGACTTTTTGCAATTTCCTTTTTTTACTTCTTTTGTTTGATATATTTTTTAAAGATTTGGGTAATATGTACGTACGACTGATGAATATTCCAAGTCCAACTGTTAACAGGAGCGTGAGAACGCCGGTACAAATCAGGGCAACTCCTGTTACATACATGCTGTCAGTACCGCAGGAACATTCTTTATTTAACAAAAGTAGTATCTGTATTTTTTATAAACCAATCAATATATGAAAATAAATTACCTCATCCATGAAGTGAACTGTTGTTATTAAACAGTGATCTAAAACGTGACATGTACTTTAGTCGTTCGAACTCAACAGTTATATTATAAGGGCAAAATATAAACAGTGGAGATATTTGTATGATAAAGATACAATTCATTAGTAAAGAATAATAATACAATGTGTTTCGGAAAGGTAAGCGTCTTCTGCTTCATCGACGATACCTGCAGTGTAAATCTAGGCAAAAGCCAAGTAATTAAAAATGTAAGACCTAAATTCACGACAAAGAAACAGCAAGGTGAGCATAATTAAAACCATCGACCCTCATACCATATCATGGCATATGTATTCAATGAGATTGCAAATTAAAACAAAGAAGGTGTCTATATTCTAAACTGTAACTCTCACAATCTTATTTTGTCAATTTGTCAATAAGAAAACGACATCTAAAGATATGAACATATTGAAAAATTGGTGGTCATAGCAAGATTGATTTTGACAGTCGTGGTAAGCTTTTCAATAAATTCAGACTAAAGACTATTAAAGAGAAAAAGGTAGAGAAAGGCTCGGTCAGGAAAAAGGCAAAACGTGTTTTAACTGAAATGCCAAAACTTTTATGGAAAAACTTGTCATCGAGCTTAAATGCTTCAAACGCTTGAAATACAAAAAAAAATAGTTATCACTATGTATACAAATTTAATCTCTTCACATCGCCAATATAATAACCTTTAACAGCGTAACAAAAGAAGGTGATTGTAAGTAACTTACCGCCCTGAACTGTACACCCAACAGCATCAAGTGATGTTGTATTTCCGTAGGTGTTGTATGCTGCAATCTTGAATGTATATAGTCGTCCTCCCACCAAATTGTCTACATATAAACTATAAATGTTCCTTCCGTCTTCAAATGCAATTGTCACTGGATACACTTCTTTTGATTTTTTAAAGGCGTCCATGCTGAATAAAACACGGTAAAACTGGGAGTTTCCAGCGTCCTCCCACGATACTTCGGCAGACATTTGCTTTCCACAGTCAACTTGCAAAATCTTCGGTGGACGTGGATTTCCTATGGTTTTGATATAAATGAGTATGTTTAAAATATAGTCAAATATTACAATATATAAATCAGATGTATACATGTTATGGATGATTATCAAGGAAATTCGGCTGAAGCATTTAGATACATTTTACAGTGAAAATAGGTTCTTGTGAGTCTATGACATCGTGCCAACAATACCGTGTGCAGACGATCCATTTATCCTACACAAAACGTGCTCAGAATCGAACAATTTAACGATCGTTTGCTCCATAGGGCAGTTCACACTTAAAATACCGGAACACTCGTGTAAAATATGGAAGTATTTAATTACTGATCAATTTATTTTGTATTTATCCCAAGTATCAAAATCATGCTACAATGACTGTAAAACTGTCAAGAATGGGGTCCCCCAGGGTACCACGTATCAGAACAGGAAGATAATATTTGCTAGGTGTCTGTGACTTTTGCTTTGCTTATATTCATCAGTATTTGATACAAAAGGTACATCGGTGATATGGCAGTTATCTTAACAAACCTGGATACTGTATGTTTTTAAATTGCGTTCATGCTATTGCTTTTCAGTATATGACACATGGCAGTTTCACACTTCAATGAGTAGGATTTCCGGGGTTACAAAAACGTAAAAACTGCATAACTCGACCCATTGTCCATGATCAAAATCTGGATTTGATTATGTGAATACCTAATTACTCAAAAATCAAAAAGTCAAGCCGTCAGGATTGCTTTCACAATGTCAATTTGCATGTGTTGATTAAATTGATACCGCATCTTCAAAGCATACATCATGTAACTCAGAAAAGATATTCTAAAATAAAGTATTTGAAATATCTTCCATATCACATACTAAATTGTACGCCTGCACAAGATATGGTCTTATGTACACTATCAGCATACAACGAAAACGCCAAGAGGAAAACAAGGCAAAGCGACTGGAATTTACTTAAAATGAAGGTTTTGTGCTAACATTATTAATTTACCTCTATCAGCAACTGTGAAAGTGAGTGTCCCGTTGCCCTCACTATTTATTGCCGTTACAGTATATAATCCAAACCAGGCCTCTTGTATGTTCGCACGTGTCCCCACTGACAAGGCTGACAGGTTCGATGAAAAAGGTGCATTATGTATAACAAAGTTGTCTGTCCCGTCGTTTAGCTCAGTAAAAGAATTATGTGAAGAGTTCTGGAAAGTCCATGTGAATGATGAAGGTCCCGGGTTTGACAGAAATATGGCATTCATAGTTAGATTATCATGAGTGGCCAACCCTATCTGTCGAACTGTAAACACTCTTGGATCAAGACGCGGCGAACCTAATTTGGATGGAATTTAAAAAAGACACAAAATAAGACAACTTATTGCTCTACGATTTAGTATCACACACAAGCAGAATCACACACATATATACAGATACACATACTACCGCATACACACAAATATGATTTGATATTTAATTACTTTCATAAAGAAAGTACAATGATGTATGATGAATAAGGGTATGCGTTGCCATAGGAAACCTTTTTTTGTTGTTGCGAATACCTGGACGTCAAACGATTCCGTAAAGCTACTACCAACCTAAACTTGGCATGACTGATTTTTTTTATTATTTTTTTTCTATTACAGGACTTTCAATTCCCGGTCCATATATAAAGCTTTTAACATTTTATTGATAGATTTATCACTGGATTTTATTCTGATATTTCTTTTACTTTTAAAAAGTATGGACAAAAAGATAAACTTCAGACCTCCTTGTATTCACAGTTTTCTTTACCGTAAGTTACGTTATGAAGCTAACGGTGTGTTTTAATTGACGTAATGCACCGTGTTAGCTACACTTAATTATGTTTTCAAGCTGGCGGTTCAGTCGACGTAATTGAGCGTACGGCTTACAAAGTAGTGCGTTATCAAGCTAACACGGTATCTGGGTATATAATCAGCTGACGGCGGGTTCTTTACGTTCTTAATTGTACGGGCCTCTTTACATTACGTTGTCAAACTAACGGCATTTTCTTTAACGACGTTGTTAACCTTACAGCTCACCCTGGATTACGCCATTCACATGAAAACGTGTTTTATCGACGTTATCATCATCAGGTAAATTCACAATTAGCATTTCAGCAGATTTTACACGAAGACATTTAAGTAAAGTTTGAATTGATTCTTTTCTGCAAAAATCGTGATTACGTTTTTTTTTCTACTTACGTGATTAGCTACAAAGCAGAGAAAATATATCAAGGTTCACGCCAGCAGTCGCCAATAGCGCCAAATAAGAAATAATAATATGTTGGCGATAAAGAAAGATATTGACAAGTTGTTTTGTCAATATCTTAAAAAAAATGCAATGTGTCGGTTTATAGCTCTAACACAGGTAAACAGTGACCATCTAGCTGCTACATCCTGGTGAATTCACTGCCCAATTAACTTATTAGTGTAACGCTATTGTTACAATCACTAATCAAATCTAAATGGTACGCCTGTTGGCACACTGTGTATGTAGCAAACAATACGTGACCAACAGTGATCAGGAGTCCTAACAACAAGTCAAGGGCATTGGGGATATAATTGAGAGGACTAAGAATTTGGTATACAATACAATCAACACTAATTAACATGCACATAAAACAAATACAATAAAATTTGATGACAAACGATCTTTATATCGGGGCCAATATAACTTAATGCTAATAGAACAAATTAAATTGCAACTGAAGTAAAGATTCAGACTATAGAAACATTTCATTTACTGGAATACATCATGACATGTTTTAATATGGACACAATTTTAATATATCCTATTTTTCTCAAAACCTTATTAAGGACAAACTAGACGTTCTTAGCGCTGACTTGATATATACATATGTTAGTGTCATAACAGATCCGGACCGAAATTCAGGATTTTCTTTTTTTAACACTTAACATATTTTTTTAATGATTAGATTTATTTTGAATTGGAAATATTGTATTAATATCTTTGTATTTATAACAATTTGTGTTATTCTATTTGTCTGGAGTGGGATTGTTTCAGAAGAAAAGTAATATGATACATGGAAAATTTAGGGACACAACATTTTAATAAAAATATCATAGGGGATCATAAAGGAATCGAGACACAGACGTTTTACTTTTATGTGAGCTCTTTGTAACAAACAGATTAAAGATATTAATATTGATGATATAGTAAAGAAATACTTAAGCACAAGGAATAAATTTTTTAACCACGGCACCTTGTTAATGCCTTTAAATAATTGGTTCATACATGTAAAATTTGGCGCAAGAAATTATTTTTGCTGACAGTTTTGGCGAAATAATTTTTTGAAGCTGGTGTGAACCCTGTATTGTCATAGTTGCCATGTTTTTTAAGCAAGTATGCTATTAATAAACGCCCTGGTCATTTCGTGTGATCCCCTAAGTATCAGCCATATGAAATTAACATATGTTCATGCCTTCAATAATATACTTTTTCTAGATCGTAATCTCTGTCGATTCCGTTTGATATCTGTTAAATGCGTATTATCCTACTTCAAGTCACGCAAATTTTTTCATAAAGAATACTCTCTTTAAAGTTTAATCTCATAAAAAAACGCTGCTATCGCCTCTTGATCTGGATAATGCAAATAGTGACGTTTTCGCAATATTTTTAGAGTGCTTGTTCATGGAAAATCGAAAGCGTTCTTGCTGTTGTTTTGTTTTCAATATCTCAATATTTACCATCGTATGGCATTGTCTCTATAATTCTACCAAATTCAGTTGGCATTCATGTAGGCTTTGAATGTCACGGACCGATTGTTGACGTCATCATTTTTATGACGACACAATTGTTACGTTGGATACCACCGACTTTAGATTCCACTGATAACCACTTGTTCATTGAACAAGCATACACGATGCAAACGTCATTTGAACTAAATGCTGAATAACAACAAGTGCAATTTTTGTTTATGAGACGAATATATTCCAAAAATGGTAAATATAAGTATTGAACTGCTTTTAATTGGCATGCATAGTCAATATGAGTTCCAACTGGCTCGTGCGCTTCATTGAATTTGCCTTTGTCCAGTTGGCATTCATATTGCCTATGAATGCTAACTGAAAGCAGTTCAATGCTTAACTGCACACTGACATTTTCTTAAAACATGCAAACAAAACCTGAAGATGACAATATAAAACGTAGGGAAAACAATGCTTTTAACCGAAAGTTTGGAACTTGATTTAAAACACATCCCATTTATTTATAGGCATAACAATGATTTATTCAGTATGAGTAAATTCACCGAAAACTGCAATACTGTTGCTTAAAAACGGAAAAAAACTCCCAGTATCTTCCTTCAAATAAGCACTGTTGTAATATGTTACATCGTTTCAATTATGTTTTTGTCCTGTTTACTTTTAAAGGAGCACTGGTGAGCTTTGACACCTGGTCGAGAGATACGGTCGGAACATCTGATTATTCGAGATCTGAATGGTCGAGAAGAGACGTTTGTCGATTTTGATTGAACGAGAACATATGGTTGTAAATTTTGAATGGATAAAAGAAGTTCATTGAGTTTTGAATTTGATGCAGAGTAAATTATTTACCTGGCGAAGTGGTTTCAACGACTTCATCAACCTTTGACTATTTCACTGGTTTTAGCTTCTTTATTCGCGAACAGAATATATGGTAATGACTTAGAGCTTAGGTCGTTTATGACTCTCAATCTGGTGACGAGAATCAGCAGGCGACGGAAATATTACAATTTTTATGTATACTTTTCAAGAAATACTTTTCATTTTAATAGAACACTTGCCTAGGTTATTTTGAGCATACTTGACCTACTGAGAAACAATTTTATCTGTAAGTGAATCCACTAAAATAAATGTGCCGTTATAGTTCGATAGAAAATTATATAAAAAGTCGCCGTTTGTATTATGTGCGTGTATCAGTTGCTTAGTGTTTCAATCATTTAAGTGGTTCTAGCTTAAGAATGGCGGTTATCGCTTTGTCTCGAGAGAAACACCGTAGAAAAGTTGATTTTAATCATAATGTCGACATTGGGCATTCTTGGTAAATATATATATATATTAAATAATGACTAAAAAATAATCATCATTTTCAGCTTCAACAATTCGGTCAGATATTAATTTCATGGTTTTCGAATCAATGAAGAAAAAAACAACATACACAAAACGTTGATCATTATGTCCTTTGCCACTGCTGTGTTAGATACACTGTTCCTAGCAGAACATGTGTACAGTCCTGTGTCCAGACAGCCAGCAGTAGTCAGGGTGTAGCTACTCTCCAGTACATCTGTGGCGGTAAACAGTTCAGTGCCATTGTTTTTGTAGAACCATGTTATTGTAGACGATGGGACACTATCCACCTTACAAATGAGAGTCTTGGATCCGTGTTCCGTCACACCAGCGTCTCATTGGTTGTAATCAAGGCTGTCTATTTCAGGAGGAACTGAAATGTAGAATAACTAATTATGTATATATGCATAACAATACAGTTTAGGTTTGAATTCAAAGATTGGTTGTATAGACTTTTATCCATTTGAACGGATGACGAAACAAGTAAATCGACATTTAGCTTCATAGGAGCTGAATCATTACTCGATCTCTGGTTTAGAATGTATTACGTGATTTAGAGTTCTTAGAAGAAAAAAAGATTAACTTCAAGAGGAAGAAACATAACTGATTGACAAAATAATGTGTTCATATTTATTTGGAAACAAAAACCACAAAAATGTAGAAATATTTGTTGTGGTTCGTGACACGTTGTGGCGTAAGGACGTATATATAATTTGTTCATATTTTTTTTTTATAAAAAAGGAAGAATATGTAGAAAGATTTTGTGTGATTAGTGACACATTGTGGCGTAAAGAAGTATATTTAGTAACGGTTAAACTATACTTGTATTTGTTTTCTCTGTTATAACGCATTACATGATGAACATTTAAGAAACTTTGTAATATGCGAACAGATGTATCAATAATTCTTGTAGTTACAGCTGATAATAGTCGCTACAATTTATACTGTTTATTGTTAATATAAGCAAATTATAAATGCAGGGAAATATCTGATGTTTACAGTAGCTTAAGTATTTGTTAATATATTTATTTAACTGTTTCTGCATGTAGAAAAAAGCTCTTGGGGGCTTGTCAAATAAAGTGCTGCCTTCAATGTATTACCGAAACAGCATATTAGTTTCCATCGGTACGTCATGCTAGGGGGCTTGGAGGACCATCCATCGATCATGAT